AAAGAATGAGTAGGATAATAGGTTATTAAAAAAGGAAGACGTCCTTTCATCTGTATCCGATTTSAGAAGATCAATGTTAAAGTCGCCAGCAATATAGCAGTTCATACTGTTTCTTTCTAATTTATCCAATAAACCGGTTAAGCAAGTTGAATAGCTTTCTATATTGGTTTTTGGTGGTTTGTAGGTAACACCAATCAAAGACTTGGTGTTTTTTCTAACTATCTGAACGAAAAGAAATTGAGACTCGTCACTATTATAAGTTAAATCATCACGAACACTAAAACTGAACTCATTATTAATATACAGAGCTATTCCACCGCCACCATCTTCATTTGGTCGATTAAGGATGATCGGTGGATGAAAATTAGGCAACTTAAAAAAGTTAAGATCATCACTATCTTTGAGCCAAGTTTCAGATAGAGCAATCACATCAAAACTATGATTAAGAGACTCAAGGTAACAGATAAGATCATCAAAGTGTTTGCGAAGACTTCTTATATTAAAGTGTATAAAAGAAAACTCAATGTTTTTGCAAGTRAGACTTTGAAACGTCTCTTCTGTATAGTATTTACATTTTTCAGTCMTGTGGTCAATTTTGGTGAACACACGTTCGTCGGGATCGCAGAAATTATCAATGAAGTTTGCCTTTGATTTACATAAGCTATCGTCCCTAAAGGGATGGAATGATAAAGCATTAAGCCGCTCAGAATTACAAAACGGACTGTATCCATTTTGCAATTCAAAAAGAGCTGTATGGAATTCAACATCATTCAAGTGTAAAAAATGCAAAGCATCAACAATACAGTTGTGACATAAATAGKCCTTTGTAGAAGAATTGATTTCATTAATTTCAATTGTACTCTTAACCTTTTTTAAGCACTTTAGATGAACCAAAYGGCAACAATGCGAGCAATGAATTACTACGTTATTAGCATAAACTCGCTTGCTACAGGATAAACAAAGTTTTCTAGTCAATGTATCACGAACCATTCAAATTTATTTATAATAAATAAAAAAAATACTTTCTTGGATAACATTATCATTACTTATCTGGTTAACTGTTAAAACTTGAACTTGAAAAAGAGGACTCTTTGGAGAAGCAGCTGTAGCATTTTTGCCAGGATATACCACGCACTTGAGGTTTAT